CCCTACAGACAAAAAGACAAGTCCTTAGAGGTACCTGCAAGTGGAAAGGGATCATGACCACAGACCTAGTAACAAGATACTCTGTCATTTGTAGGTTCCCACATACCTCCATACACACACGCCCCCCTCCAGGATTCACGCTGCTTGCTACATAGTCTACTGCGTAAACAAAGAAAGGTCCAAAAATTGTATAATAAACCAAACTGTGCTGCACTGCTACAGTTTACTATAATAATTCACTAGCACAATCATACCTCAAGAAACTGCATTATTTAGAGGACACCAGATAAAAGGTTCAGAAAGTAGCATTTACAAGAAAAGTTATTCTTTGAAATATAATTAGCCATAGTACCCAGATTAGAAGACATAAATATTTTTTCTAAAGGAGCCAAGAACAGATTAGTCTCACTAATCAGTTGCAGAACAAGCAGAACTTAATAGGCTTGAGTTACAATAAAGAAAAATACATGCTGTGAAAGATCGGCAATCAGCCTTCCTAGGTAGGCTGTGGAATTGCTACATACAGGAGGCTTTCCTATCCTTTTCCCAATATGTGACGTGTAGGTTTGATAATCAAATGGATATTGCATAAAACTAAATTCATTCTAAACTTTCATCACATGAACATCAGGAACTTTGAATATAGCATGGAACAACTACAAGGAGTCATTTGTTGTACATTTGTTGTAGGCTGGAGCTTCCACCGCTAGCCTGAACTTGCATGTGGCTTTTCACCCAAATGCCTTTGAGGTACTATCAGTAATCCTCAACTTGCAAGCTGCAGCAAATACACTGCTTCAAACAGAAGAAACAAATAGTGGGAGGAACTATATTGCATATTCCAGAAAGATCACGGCTCCAACACCTTTAAAATAGCAAAGGGAACATAGGAAAATGAGCAATAGTGAAGTACTTCACTTACAGAAGTCATAGAACCCCCTCCCTCCAACTTCCTCAAAGCCATCCAAACAAATCAACAACTCAATACCATCATTTAAGTCTCAGCTTTGTCCTTTTTGACAAAGTCTTTATCTTTATCCACATACTGCTGTTCTCCCACTGAAAGCATACATGATTCCTCTGTACTAAGTGAAAACAGACTTAAGCTGCAACAGCCAACTCAAGTAGTATCAACTGTGGTCATTACAACATACAATGCTTAAGGAAGCGTCAATGTACGCACACATGCACTACTGAAAAACAGTCAACGGTGGGAAGCAGTGCAGAAATCTTGCTCCAAAAAGACCCAGCAGGACACAGGATGGGAAAAATTTGGAGGAAAGCAAGCAGGAAGTTGCAGCAGCAGTTTATCCTTTTTGAAAATGGCAGGAATCACATTTCTAAAACAACATGAATCACCTGAACTGAAATCTGGCAAGTACTTTTGAGCTTTGGCAAAAAAGCATACACATGATTCTCATCGCACATCAAAAACACTACAGTTACCCTATTTCAAGGCTGCAGTCATATGAAGAGAGAGATATGCAACTGCATATTGTAAAGGTAATCAGTAAATGAAGAACAGAACTGATCAGCAAAAGCTGACAGCAGGACTGCATCTATTATTTCAGAACACTTGCACCAAGACTTTCATTTAACAAGGCTAGGGAGAAAAAATATGTGTATAGAAAAAAGGTAAGCTTTCAAAGTAAAGGCTTAGAAATATTTCTTGCTTTTTTCCAAACCCCAAAGTTGAAGTCCCTTTTAATATAAAATTAGTTAAAACATTACAAATTAAACATTTGTAGCATTATGTTATTAATAGAGATTGAACACTGTTACTGGCAACATACAACACAGGATATTTCTGAACACAAAGGTTCTAAGTACTATGAGCAAACAGTGACAAAAGAGACCATGTATTTTAATACTGTAACACTGTTCTGCCTAAAGATGCAACCATAACTCCCTAACCTTGTCTCTACTGCTGCTCTCCCTGTAGGACAGATCACTACCTACTCTGAGACACTGCCACACTCTCCAGCAGCAAGGCTCTCTTCAGAAGTTCCTAAACCCTGTTTCCCCTTCCCACCCATGTAGCATGCCACCTCCTTAGCTGTGATCACACACTGAAGAAAGGTGAGGAGTTGTTTCATCCTGTTCACCATATAGTACTATCATCAACAGTGTTGCTACAACTACACCAGTGGCAGCATATGGTGGGAATGAATCATGGGGGAGGAATACCATACGCTGCTGTTGCTGCCAAAGCAGCACGAAGGGCAGGTTTTAAAGCTTATTCCTGCATTTACTTCAAACAACTACAGTACTTACTAGAAGATGCTGTGCTGAAAAACTTAGTAGTGACCAAGAATTCCAGAGCAAAAGTTTCTTCCCAAATGAACTATTTGTGCAGAAGACCACTCTTCTGATCAGTCAGTAACAAGTGACATCACAGAGATGGCAGAGCTAAGTCAGCTGGATACATGCAATAAAAACTCAACTATAGCAACAAAAGTCTCGTGGAGAACAGGATACACAAAACCCTTTATATGCCCAGTTCCTAGTTTCTGAAATAAACAAATTGCAAAGACTTGGAAACAGATCTCTTTAAAACACACACCATGTGCTCCCCCAAGGGCTTATACCTCTAGGCATTTCTGTCCATAGCTTTTCACAGAAAGAAAAGGTATCCCAGAATTGCACCCCTACCTGCACACACCAGGCACTGACATGTGACCACCAATACTCTAAGACAATAGAGGCAGTTTCATATATAGGTAAACTGAAAAGCCACACACATCCCATACTATCAGCAGCTAAAGGAGCTCAACTCAACCTGATTTAACATTTATAATCAAAGTGCTATCCAAAGATTATTTTCTTGGGCCTTTATTTGAGAGGTTATTAGAGCTTTCAATTCAGAAAACAGTAGTAGGGTAACAAAAAAGCCTGGAACACAAATGCTCTTTCACAGCATTAGTATCTTCAATTACCTCACTAAGGCTTGGATTTTAGAAGAGCAACATTTGCAGTAAAAAGTAACTCCATGCAAACAGGCCAAAGCATCAGGCTAAGTCTGAACTACACAGATACAATTAAAGACCTTGTAAGCTTTTAAGTATGCTTCTCTGCAGGGCTCCTTTAAAGTAGGTTGTCTTAAACAAACACAACAACAACAACAAAAAAAAAGAGAGAAATTAAACCCAGGAAAGAGTAGAAAGAAGTTCCTACGCTCCAGAAACTGCATGTTGTGAGCTTGAGTCGTCTGGTTAAAGATTTGCATATGGAAGACAAAGCTTTTTTTAATTTAAGCCACAACCAAGCAAACAATATTACCTCCATCAGACCTTTTCTATTAAATCCACGTATCACTTTGTTCAATATGTGTGAAGTCTATTCTTTTCTTGTAAACAATTCACCTAGCAATAAAACTGTCCTAAGATAGCAAGTAGCTGGGGTTAAAATTTGCATGGAAAATTCTTTTTATTTCTCTAGCACCTTTGAACTTGGCACTGCATGCTATTTGATTATAAATATATGCTGGGAAAAAAGACATACTCCAAAAACAAAATTACCAACAACCATTACCAAGAGCAGAAAATTGGTTTAGAGTTTGAGGGTTTTTTGGTGAGCTTCAAAAGAATTTTGGGGAAAAACCTTAGAGAGAAAAAGTCCACATAAACAAGCAACAAGAACTAAAAAAGGGAAAAATACAGATTAACACATCAACACATCAAAACCAAGGTTTGGAACTCAGAAACAGAAAAGCTGTGCCCAAGCTTCGAAGCCAAGTTTAGTTTAAAAGTTGTTCAGCAAGAGAAAGGAGGGAGTCAAGAGTAGCGAGAGGTAATTCAGGTTGCTTAGTCCTGTCAGAGAAAGAACTTTCATTACAACTAAAGGGAAGATCATCAGAGCATGAAGAGTTACAGCAGAATGGAAATCATCTGCAAGGAATAAAATAACATAAAATAAAATAAGAAATAACATAAAATAACATGACATAAAATAAAATCCACCCAAAACCAAACAACCCACAAAGAAGTGTTATGCAAAAATACGTAGATGAGAGTTATTTCTATCTTGTCCACCACTGCCTTTGAATTAGAAAACTGGCATTCCT